TTATAATCTGAAATCTGAGATAATCTTCGTGTGATCAATAGCTTGTTGGTTTAGTGCAGTCACATCTTCAGTATTGTCAACTCTCATTAAATGTGTGGTTCCGCTTCCTGCCATGTCCCCTGGTTTCCCTGACCCAGAGCAGGTACCCTGTGCTCAGAGCTGGCAGCGGGTCCCTGCTCTTTGGCAAGAGGTTTAAGGATAGCCCATGTGGCGAGCAGGATTAAGGAGAGCCAAAAAGTGAAGGGTGGCGTTTCCATCGTGATCCTTTGATTGGCTTCCAGAGAGTGGGAAAAAGAGGACTGAGTTTTGATGAGGGACTGAAATAAAACCCTGAATCCCACCCCCTCCTTTTCTTCACAGCCAGTGTTAGTGGCAGACCATTTGGAGCTGTAACCCTTGGCTCTGTTATGAAGACAAACTACACGGCATATTCTACGACTGTGTCCCCGCACAAGTTAGAGGCTTATTCACAAATGCTTCTGTTCATGTCTTTAGAGAGCTTAGTAAAGGATCCCCACGTCTTCTTAGGGCTCCTCTGTTTCATCGTTCCTGTCTGGGGTGAAAACAGAAGCTTGTACCCAGGAGTGGCAGCTATTGATACCATACACAAAGAAGGGAAGTCCCCAGGTGACCCTCTGCCACGCTCCTTTGCACCTGCTCACCACAGCTAAGGAGAATCTAACAGAACTCAAAGAAGTGGTGAAGGTTACATCCATCTCATTGTCTTCCAGCTTCTCACAGTGTCCAGGAAAGAGGCAGATCCATTCTCCTTCCCACTGAGGCTCATGGGCTCTCAAAGGGCAGGCTGTGGGCTTCTCTCCAGTCACCTGCTCCCTCCTTGGTGTTTATTCCTAGGAGCCCCTGATGCATACTCAGGACTGATACGCTGCGTTATCCTGGAGAGTCTCTGGCCTCTGCTTGGGCACTTTACCACCAGGAGTTTGTCATCTCACAGTTTGGGAGGCCAGAGCCCTAAGGTCAAGGTACTCACAGGGTTGGTTTCTACTAAGGGTGGGGAGGGTAAGGTCTGGTCTAGGACCCAGGTCAAGGCCTCTTCTTGGCCTGCAGTGGCCAGCATTATATTGACACATGTGCCTGTCCATCTCCAAATTTTCTCTTCTTACTAGGATGCATGTATATTGGGGTCCACCATAGTGACCGCAGATTAACTCGACTGTTTCTGTAAAGACTATCTTCAAATAAGGTCACACTTACAGACATGTGGGTTAGGACTTTGCCATGTGAGTTGAGGGGGGTGGGGCACAATTCAGCTTTTAAAAGCAAGAAAGGCCATAGCTATGGGCTGTCTTTGGCCAACATCAAGCCAAGCCAAAGAAAGGATCCAGGAGTAAAGGACGCAAGAAAGAAGGACGATCAGGGGAGGAAAGAGGGAAGTGTGGGGTCTTTGGTGGAGGGATGTGGTCTTGTTCCCACACTTTGTGCAAACCAAGCCTGCTGCAGGGCAGGGATGAACTGCAGGTGGGTTTTGAGGGTTGAAATGCATCTCCTGGGGTGACTAAGGGCCTGGGCACTTGACTGTGCCTCACGTGCCAAGTGCTGCTGAGAGCAGAGGGGAACCACGCTCCTCTGAACCCCTGCCAGATGCTTGAAAATACTGGCAACTGCAGAAAGTCTGCTTTGGTTTCCTTCTAAGTTTGAAATGCAAGCGTGTCCTTGTCAAGAGGTGATCTGCTCAATAAACACTTTTATGAAAGAAAGACCTCCCTGGTTCAATCTCCCTAGGTTTTTAGACATAAGAAGCAGACCCTAGACTAACAGCAGGTGTTGTTGGGACCCAAGTCTAGGGGCTAGGACACTGCCCTGTCCTGCATCCTCGTGGCCATCTTCCCTGGTCCTGTGGTCTTTGCTTTCAGTGGTTCATCCAGTGTGTTGAGGAGGAAGCACCGGAGGGAGGAGAGCTCTCAGTGCTGCATTCCTGGGCAGGGAATAAACTGGCTTTCCTGCCTCCTGTCTTCAGCAGTCCATTCCTCCTATGGCCTAGGACTCTCCCTTTCTTAGCCACAGTCACTGCTGGGTGAGGCTGGGGCGCGGGGGTAAATGTGCCCTCACCCGGTCCCCAACCTGAGCCCTGGAACAGGAGGCAACACAGAAGCAAGATCACCTCATCCTCTATCCTCCTCGGGGAGGAATGTGCTGGGGACCCAATGATCCCGGTTCAGGAAACAGAGGGCTTCCCCATCCTTTACCCTCAATAAAAGGATGTCAGGCATTCTGGGTGAGAAATAGGGGGCTTTGTGTTTTTAGGGGAAGCAGGCCTGGGGGGTAGCAGGAAGCATATTCCTGATGCTACATAGATTTCTCTGCAGTCACAATTCATTTCTGTTCTCTCTAGTCTGCACAGTGTGGGTAATGGGGATTTAATATTTAACCGGCTTTGAATACCAAGGGAGAACCTGCTAGACAGGTGAGCAGTTTTGAGCTAAATGTGCAGATGATCTGATTTCTCCCAAACGAGGCCTGGTTCTTGGGTTTTGTGAGCTGCAGGCCCAGAGATCCCCCACCTCCTAATAAAATTTACTGACAACACTTTGAAAAGGTAGAGAAACAAATAGACAAAAAAATTAAAGTTCTCCAACATGTTCTTTTCCAGATATAATCAATTTTAAGTTTCAATATGTGTCTCTGTGGGCTGTTTTCCATGCCAACATATCTACTGGAGAGATAACTAAGATTTTTTTTTACCAAACGAGATCTACTTATATGTGCTATTTTTTTTAGCCTTACAGTTTATAGATATCAACAATGAACACACGTAGGCATTTTCATTTTTGATAGCATCACAAAAGTTTGTTAAATAAGTGGGCTGTGTTACATAATCAACCCCTCATTGTTGGGCATTTAGGCTGTTTCCTTTTTCTCCTCTATTATAAACTTATCAGCATCACCTTCTTTGTGGGTAGCCAAAATCAAGACATCTCCCTTCAGTTTGGGAGGCCGCTGAAACCTTACTGCGTGGAGGGATAATTCTGAGGTGCTGGGTATCATTTCCCAGTATCACTCAGTGAGGCCAATGTAAGGGTAACAATGAGGTGAAGGTTGCTTTCTCAGGTGTGCTCAGGGGGGGAGGCCCAGGGGTTAATCAATGATGTTCTTTGCAGAGACTGAGAAACAACAGTTGTCTCTGATTTTTCCTAGGAGTAGTCCACGTATCCTCTAAAAATCCTGAACCACAGTCACATACACATCTCGGGCAAAGCCGGCCATTAGGGTGTAAATAATCAGCTCCCCTTCCCTGCCTTCCTGTGGATTTTTCTTAAGCACTTTACTCCTTTTTTGTTTTTGTTGCCTTCAAATTCTGTTCAGCAGATAAATGTGGTAATAAATGCCAAAAGTTTGAGAAAAAAAACTATAGGAAACAAACTTAGAATGGACCAAGACCTGCTTGCTTTTCTTCCCTAAGAGTTGATAGGAAAGAGAACAGAAACAATAAAAGTGGGTTTGCAGTTGTCCTGAGGAAGCCCCTGGACCCTTTCAGGAGCCACTGGCAGCCCTGACAGCATGTCTGGGGACCACCTGCCTTCCTGAGAGGTGTCGATGCCTTTCCCAGACACCTGTCAGCATTGCCACTCTGGGGGCGGGGAGAAGGAGAGCGGCTGGTGGCAAAGGCTCGGTACCCTGCATCCCCAAGGAGGTCTTAGTGCCTTGACCAGTGCGGTGTCACAGGCTAAACCAAACCTGAGTGCTTATCCACTGCACTAGAGATTAGAAGTCAGACTTAGAGAGAAAAATGATAGGGAGCTACATTGTTTGTAGAAGATGGAAGATATATAGAGTCTTTGATATGGAAATTTGATTCTAACATCATTTCATTGGTATTTAACCCCCTCCCACAGACTATAGATTAACAGTGGTGAGACAGGAGTTTTGAGGTTTGGTGAAGGAGCCCCACTTTTGAGGTTTTGGTTCCTTACCTGATAAAAAAATGCGCCAAAAAATATAATCCCTATTAAAATCCCACCTGACCTATTTTCCTCTTTTTGCACAAATAATAAATTGATTATAAAATTTATACAGAAATTTAAAAGAAATCCACAGTAGCCAAAACAATTTTTGTAAAGTAAAACAAAATATAAGAATTCATACTTCAATTGATAACTTACTATGAAGCTATAGTAATCAAGATTGTGTGGGGTTTGTGTAAAGATAGATACATGAACAATGGAATAAAGGGTCTAGAAATAAATCCTCACATTTGTGGTCAAGTAATAGTGCCAAAACAATTTAACGAATGAATAAGAGTGTTTTCAACACATGGTGCTGGGACAACTGGATATTCAAGGACCGGGGATGAAGCTCAGTGGTCGAGCACTTGCCTAGCATGTGTGGGGCCTTGGGTTCCATCTGTTTGAGCATGAATTTGGATTCATACTTCCCACTATATATAAAAATTAACTCAAGATGACCTCAGCCTAAATGCGTAAGCTAAAACAACACTTTGAAGAGAGGTTTAAATTTTTGTGACCTTGATTTAGGCAGTGATGATGGCAAAAACCAAACTAACCAAAGAAAGGAAGGAAATTAAGCTTCATCAAAATTTAAAAGAATATTTTATGTGTCAGTCTAAGGAGTGGGAAAATATTTGTAAATCAAATACATCATAAGGATATAGCACCTAGAATTTAAAAAGATCTGTGATGGGGGCTGGGGATTTAGCTCAGTGGCATAAACACCTGCTTGGCAAGCAGGAGGTCCAGTTTGATCCCAGTACTGCAAAAACAAAACAAAACAAAACAAAACAAAAAAATCTATGATAGCTGAACAATAGAAAGATACACAGCTCAGTTAAAAAGAACAGAAATCTGAATAGACATTTCTCCAGAGAAGATACACTAATTGCTAATAAACACATGAAAAATGTTCCAGATTTTTATTATTAGGAGCATGCTAACCAAACTCACAAGGAAAACCCATCTCTATACCAGGAAGATGGCTATGACAAAAGAGAGCCTTCCAGTTGTTGATGAGGGTATAGAGAAATTAAAACCACCACATATTACTGGTGTTGATACAAAATGTCATAGATTTGAAAAACCACTTAGCGCTTCCTCAAAAGTTTAAAGTTACCACATAACACCACAGTTTTCCTCCCAGATAGGTAAGAACATCGTCCACAAGATAATTAAAAATATAAGTCTACACAAACACTTATGTTCAGATGTTCACAGCATAATTATTCAAAACATCCCCAAAGTGGAAACAATCCAAACTTCCATCAGTTGTCAACTGATGAATGGGTAAATAAAATCTGGAATATTTATACAATTAAATATTATTAAGCCACAAACAGAAATAAAATGCCAACATGTGCTCCATCATTGATAACTTTGAAATCACTGTGCTAACTGAAAGAATCCAGACACAAAGATGGTGTATTGTACGATTCCATCTATGAGAAATGTCGAGAATAGGAAAATTCATGGAGAAAGCAGATTACGAGTTAACCAAGGACTGCAGGTGAGGCTTCTGGGGAGTGACACTAACGGTTCTCTGGGGGTGAAGAAGTTTTTTGAATTGGCTACTATGGTCATACACCTTGCTGTGAGTATACTAAACACCACTGAGCTGAACACTACAGGAATGAATTCTACGACATATGAATTATGTTTCCATTTGAAAGTGGACCAGAATGTGGCTTGTACAGTGAGGGTCTGGTATTGGTCCTCGGGTCTTAGGGGTCACAGCTGAGTGGCAGATTGGTGGTGACAGAAAACCTGCTCTTACCTCCCATGAGTCTGGCCTTTCACAGTGTTATTGGAGGAGGAACTCACAAATGGGAATTCATATGATGCGATCTGGCTTCTTTGACTTAGTAGAATGTCTGCCAGCTCACTTGGGTTGGGTTGTGTATCGGTACCTCATTTCTTGTTACGGTTGAGTGATGCCCCATGGTATGAATATGCATGATTTTTGCTTATGCTTTCAGCAGTTGATGGACGTTTGGGTTGTTTCCACTGGGGAATGCTATGAATAATCACGCTATGAATCAATTGCTCTTGGGGAAGGCACTTTCCCCCAACCCAGCTCTGCTCTCTGTCTCACTGGGGAGGTTTCAGGATGTGGAAATCTGTGCGTTTTCCTGAGTGCCCACCTTTTTTCATTTTTATTAGCCCTTGTCTTTGTGCTTTGTTAAATCTCGCCTTTTCCCCAGTTTGGCTTGTTCTTCTGTTCACAGATTTGATCCCGTGGCTCCAGCTGGACAGCAGCTTTCACCAATGAAGACAAGAGGGCAAAGCTCAGTCAGCGATGGCAACACTCATCCCTTCACGACCTGTGGTGACTTTCCACGTTATCCATGCCATGAAGGTAGCTGTCTCTGATGTTTGCTGACGTTCACACTGTTGGCTCTCTGTGTGTTCTGAGGGTGGGTGCAGTGTCAGAACCTGAGCATCTTGAGCCACAGTTAGTGAAATGCTGTTGCATGCCAGGGCGAGCAGCTGAGCATAGGTGCAGAACATTCCTGCACTCTTCTTCAGGTAGTTTTCTGTCCAGCTACACCCCAGAGGTGTGCCATCATCGTGGGGGCAGAGCATGGGCGTTGTGGTAATAGAGCCATGAGAGCTTACCCAGACAGACCAGGTTGTTCAGCATGAGAACATCTGCTGGAAATCAGCAAAGAGCTAACTCACAGGGAAGGATTGGCAAGTAGTGGTGATCATCCTGCAGCTGTCGGGTGAAATGCACCACCTACGAGGCCAGACTCCAGAAGCCACGCCTCCCCTCCCATCCCTCCTTCGCATTGGTTTAAACAGAGCAGCAGGAGAGGAAGCTCTGGAAGTCTCTTTCTCTCCTCTCCACAGAGCCACACAGTTTTGTTCCTTGTGTTCTCTAATCTCTCCGCGTGAGAGCAAAACCTGCTCTAAGCCCTCTTGAGCTTGGTGTAGCTGGAGGAGAGATGTAGATTACTCAGGAATACACGTTTGTGGCTTGAATCCAGCTTTTCCATCAAGAAGAAATAAACTTCATCCGCCTGACTGTCCGCTGATACCAGTCTGCAGAAGTCGGAGTAACATGAAACTCTCTTTACCCATTGCTGCCCAGGCTTCCATGGGTCATAGGCTGCCTGCATTGACCACGCCTCCCCTGAGGGTGCCCACCCCACAAATGGCTGGGCTATGACAGTGTAAGCACCCTGGTTCAGAATGGAGCCCATGACCTTGTGCCTTTTATGGTTCCATTTTTATGCCTTTTTGGTGGTGGCTTTTGCAATGGGGTGAGGCAGGTGCTTGGTTCTAATGTCCCCTGCCAAGTAACTCAGCAGGCCCCATAAAGGAGCTGATGACTTGCATACAATTGCAGAGGAAAACCGGTTCTTCGAGTCTGTGACCCAAGCTGTTTCAGCCATTCTCTGGACCTCAGGAAGAGGCAAAAGCAGAGAAGAAGCCAGAGAAGCCCAGAACTGCATCCATGAGAAGACAGGATGAAGATCCAATCCAAGGTTATCCAAAGCCAGACAGTAACACCTACCCTTTGTAACCCCACTCCCCCGGTCACAGTAGTTTTTGAGCAGTCGGACTGGGTATCCCTCTGATGGGAGTGCTGGACACATGACAAACACTTGCTGGCTGGTGGCAGTGAAGGCCACTGGGAGCCCCACACCTTTGACAGATGTGGTGATGACCCTGATAGGGTGTGATGACTTCCACACAGCCAGGGGCTCTCAGCTTACTGAGGTCTTGTGGAACGATGGAAGGCAGGGCGTGGGGCTCTGCAGATGAGGCTGGGACCTTCCAGGAGAGATTGGTTTTAAATATCATCAGGTATAGTGCAGTGTCATGTTGGTAGCTCTGGGTGAGGAGACAGATGGGTGATTCCATCCTACTGGACATTATCAGGAGGCCAGCACATGCCAGGACCCCAAGGCTCTTGGGGTCCACACTGGGATTGACTCCTTGTTGGATGTCTGACAGGAATACTTTGTTCTTGCAGCATAATGATGATCATGGACTCTGAAGTCAGAAAACCTCCAATCTTTCCCCAGGTCTGACCAGCAGTAGGCCCTAGGCGGGTCAGTAGTCCCATGTAAGCCTCAGGTTCCTCACCTGTGAAATGGATGGAGATGATGATGATGATTATGATGATGGAGAGGCATAGGCATGTGCTTCATATCTCAGAGCCACTAATGATGTGATTAGTTGTTACTGCTGCTAGTCCTGGGAAGACAGGAGTTGGCTATAGGAAAGGAATAAATGAGCTTTCCCATGAAACACACGCCAGTCATCCTGACCTCCAGGCAAGGCAAGCTGAAGTATTCCTCAGATACATAGAATCTCTTGGACTCCTTGGTATCTAAGAACACAGTATCCCAGATCAGCAACCTGCTCTGCCCATCTGGACCTTGCCAGCTAGTATATTAGTTAGTTTTCTGTTACTGTAACAAAATACCTGATGTAATCAACTTAGGTAAGGTTCACCAGGACTCATAGTTTCAGGAGTCACAGGCTTCAGAGATCATAGGCTCATAGGTTTCAGCCTATGGTCACTTGGCCCATTGTTTTTGGGACAGAGCTGCGGTACGTGTCAGAGGAGACAGGAAGGAGCTAGAGTCCCAGTATCCCCTCCAAGGGATGCCCTCTCAATGACCTAACCCTCCTCCACTAAGCCCTGCCCCCTAGAGGTTCTACCACCTGATAGCACCACGGGTCGGCTAACGCATGGGCTTCTGGCTCAATAAGAACCAAACTGTAGTACCCAGACAAAACAGGTGGGAGCAGCGCAGAGCCTGGCAGGGTGAAAGCCTGGTCTCTGCACTGGCCTGTCACCCTGCTGGACGGCAACTCTGGCGACTGTAACCTCATCAGAGCATCTCTGACAAAGGTGATCTCTGCAGACTTCTTGGCAGCCTCCCGTCTCGTATAGCTCAAACCCGTGACATATATTTCCCTGGCTGAAACCTAAGACAGTCCGGCTTCTTCTGCTCTGGCCGATGAGTGGAAAAACAGATCCCTCTCTCTCACGTGCGTTCTTGATGCATTAGAAACTGTCTTTGCTACTCACCGCATTGACGTTCACTCAAGGCCAAGCGTCTCAATCCTTTTAAACTTTGCCCAGATGTCTTACTTTTCATGGTAATCTCTCATTTCCATGGCATTCCCTGGTATTTTCAGATTTTTCTCTAAAGCCTTGCTCTAATAGCCATCCCTAATTTGTGTCCAACATGCCATGCCAATTTAAATGATTAGCAAGGACACAAGGAAAAGGCAAGTAAGATGTTTAGCAGGGTGGGAGGGGGCTGGCTAGAACTCTGTAGCCTACGTGGGAGGCTGGGAAGCTTTCCCAGAGAGGAAGGAAGCTGGGGACACCACTGTGTTTGGAAAGCAGGAGACAGAGCAAGAGCTGTGAAGGAGCCCTGGCCCATCCTCTTGGGCTGATCCCACATGGAAGTAAATATGAGCACAAGACAGGCTGGTTCTCTTCCTCTCAAAGGAGTTTCTCCAACTGGAGCTTTAGGAGCTGGGTTCTAGCCCCAGAATATTGGCCTGGCAGCTTCGGGGTAGGGCTGAAGAGTCTCATTTCTAGCATCTTCCTAAGTGCTGCTGAAATTGCAGGTGGGGGTCTGCACTTTGAGGATCCCAGCACAAGACAGATGAGTGCAGTTGTACATTCCCTTTGTGGTCTTCCACTGTTCCCAGGCTCAAGTTCTTGTTCTGTCTCCAAGGCCCTATGTGTCCCTCCCCAATCCCTCTGGCCTGCGGTTCCACTGGCTTCATTTTGGAGGCCACGTTTTCTTACTGTGGGTGGGGGCTTGTGTGTGCTGCTACACTGTCTATGGTGCCCACCCCCAGATCCGTGTATGGATGATTTTCTTGTACATTTCAGAGCCCCAACAACTGTCCTTTCTTCAGAAAGGCGGCAGCTCACAAGCAGTCCTTCTGTCATCCATGCTTAAGACACTGCCACCTCCTTACAGCATTTACTATGGTATAACCAAATGATAGTTGAAACAGTCACATTGTGGGCTAGGGCTTCAACATGAGTTTTGGAGGGGGCATGCCACAATTCAGCCCATGTGTTACACATGGCTGTCTCCAATGTGACTATTTGAAAATTGCATGTGTAAATAAATAAGATTAAATGAGATCTGAACACAGGGTCCTAATTTGATAAGCTTGGTGTCTACGTAAGAAGAAAAACAACAGAGATCCCATCTGTGTGCACACGGTGGAGGGACTCTTCAAGGACAGAGCAAGAGGTGGCCATCTCTAAGGCAGGAGGAGAGGCCTCGCCAGAAGCCAGCCCTGCTGATACCTTGGCCTTGGACTTCCACCCTATAGAACCACTACAGAATAAAATTCTGTTATTTAAACCACTTGCTCTGTATTACAACGAGGTCGAAGATGTCAAGGTCACAGGATGGCCCCTAGGAGCTTGGGTGAAGAGGGACCTCTGGACAGAGCACCAACCAGAGGCAGCTGGAAGGATCTGGCTCTTCCTGCTCCCTGCATCCCAGTTCCCAGTGCTGAGCGAGACGCAGATGTGCTTGGCAGAAAACTGTCAGTGAGCTGAGTGGAACTGATGTGCGTGGACACAGCCACAATGTCGTGCCTGCTCCAGGCGCCATGGCAAAGCTGTTCAGTGTGGACCCTGGAACCAGCCACTGTGGCTTTGCATCTTGCATCTGAATTTATGACCTTCAAAAGTCACTAAGCCTCTCAACTTCTCTGAAAACAGAGCCGTTATAAGGCTGGGGCAGTCAGGACACGTATAGCAGATCCACACGGGTCCTGTTATTGCAGGGAGCTGGAAGTTTGCTTAATTAAGCTCGGTGTTGCTGATGATTAAAATGACATCTGAGTCTCTGAGGATTACAGATAGGGCTTCTTTTGCATGCTCAGCCCTGGCAGGGGAGAGTTAGGAGGCTGAGTCCCGATGCTGGAAAACAGCTTTGGATGAGCAAGGCTAGCTCTGGGGGCCAGTGCAGACTGCAGGGCGCAGGCCATGTGGCCATCTCCCTGGGGGTGCAGTAAAGATAAGTGGTCTTGAGAGAAAAGCAGAGAGATGGGAAGACCATCTTCGAGTCAAGAAACAGTGCAGTATGTAGGATGGTGGCAACTTCTGCAGTCCCCTAGAGCAGAAGGACAAATGTGGTTTTGGCTGGGACACTCAGAACTTGGCACCCATACCCAGCCTCTGCCATGAGTGTTCTTAGACATGAAGCCAAGGTCTGAAGATGTACAGAGCCCACTTTTCAAGACTGTCTCTGGGGGTTTGGAATGGGATATTGTGTCCTGGAATGACCTAAAAGAGTTATTTCACAGAGGATTGCAAAATACAAAGATGAGGAGATGATGGGCATGGTGGATTAA